TAAATCACAGCACTTTAGAATGTACTGTGCCATGCTGTCTCAAAGCATGAGGGGGCTTTATGCAATTTCTCTACATTCGATTAGCCAAAAGGTAGGGGGTGGACCAACCTCTCCTCCTCTTCCTACAGAAGTGGGTTCTTCCATTGATTGGTAGTATTTTTTTTTGTCATTTTCAAACCCTCTCAGGCAACAGGCTTTCACTCTCTCTCTCAGCGGTTGTGATATGGGTGCCAATCCCTTCATGCCGAGGCATGTCTGGAGGCAGTGCGTGGGATGCTCATGGTGGGTTGATGTCTGGCAGCCTCAGATAAGAGCAGGACCTGGTTTTCCCACCCGCAGGACCTGGAGGGGGGAAAGATTTATGGACTGCATCAATGGTGCTGTGCTAAAAATCTATTGAGGACATGGGCGGTAGAGATTGGTGCTTGTGCGGCACGGCTGTGACAGGAAATCCCCTGGGATATGGTCTTTAACAGTGTACAATGTACATGTACTGCGTACCCAGTTAGGGAGGGCCGCCACTAGGCAGTTACACACTAGAGCCCACGCTAAAGCATTAGAAATAAAAAAGGAACATGAAAACACATTTTATAGATATATTCTCTTTATTTTTTTATGAAAAAAACTATTTTTTTTTATTACTGTTGTAAATTACAAGTTCACTGTAAAATAAATCATATTTATACATAATAATAAATAATATTTTATTAGAATTATAATAATTTTATTTTACACTAAGTTACAATAATAATATTTTTTGTCTTAATTTCTTGATATTTACCCGCTTAACATTTAATTTTCTCAAGCTTTTATTTTGGCAGAATACTGGTAAAATGTTATAAATTTCTATCCTGAAAAATGTAGGGAATTATGCAAATGTGTAAATAAAACTAACCCAGTGAATGCATGTTAAACTCACAGTACATGCAAAGATGGAGTTTGCTGCATTTAGGCCTACTGTCAACTGCTAATTTTAAAATTATGACACATTTCCACACATTTGAACAGATTTCTCTGAACCTACACTTGGTAAATTAAAATTAATCTTAATTCAATGAGACCAGACCTATTTCATTCGAATTTTTCCTGTGAATTTTCCTTGAAAGTAACTCTCGTTGATCCTTTCAGTCTGTCACTGCTCAAGTTGGTGCCCTATGCAGAGTTGTCTTTAAAGGTAAAAAGCAGTTCCCTTTCATGGGAACTTCGAACTGTGTCCTCTAGGGGTCTCTATGGGGAACGCCTCGTCGTGACCCGTGTCTGAAGCATACATTGAAAAAACACCAACTCGTTGGCCGGCGACAGCCATGACGTCACTACTGGTGCGACTATAGTATAAATAGGCGCCGGGAGCACACATCATTCTGTTCTTCATCTTCATTGACTGTTTTGTTTGAAGCGTGCATTTCTGTGGTAAGAGCGATCTCTGTAGTGACGTCATGGCTGTCGCCGGCCAACGAGTTGGTGTTTTTTCAATGTATGCTTCAGACATGGGTAACGACGAGGCATTCCCCATAGCGACCCCTAGAGGACGTAGTGTCTCATTCCCATGATTTGTTGGGACCATGGTTACATAAGTAACCTGAGACGTTTTACACATTTATGTGGATTGCAACTAAGTGCAAATGAAAATGAAACAAAATTTTCAAGATTTGTGTTATTTTAGATCATTATAATTAACTAAACTGAGCAAGCAAAAATCATTTTTCAGCATTGGCCAATTGCTTGAATTGATCTGATGCATCTTTTAGCCCTGTTACTGCTGAAAAACAACAATTTAAAACATTTAGACTCATCTAAAATTGCCTTTTCCTTGTCTCCTTGGACATGACTTGTTCATTATGTGCTTGGAATCCATGAAAATAATTTTTTATATATATTAAAGACACAAGGTGCTACGTTTAGTGCTACTGTGCCAATTTCATTGATGATCGAAGATAATTCTTCATTTGATTGAAAATAGAGGGTTTTTTTTTGGGGGGGGG